ACCCACTTCCCCGGGTCCCTGCATATATGTATGTATGTATTTCTATGCATGTATGTATGCATGCACAGGGAGTTTCCCAGAAAGAGCGCCGCCCTGCGGCGGTCCGAGGTGGAGAAGGGGCCCTACCGCCTCGTGGTCTTCTCTTCCTTCGCGGCCAAGGCGGGGGTTTAGGGTTTTAGGGCTCAGGGTTTAGGGTATTTTAGGGTTTTAGGGTATTTTAGGGTATTTTAGGGTTTTAGGGTTTAGGGTTTTAGGGTTTGGGGTTTTAGAGTTTTAGGGTTTTAGGGTTTAGGGTTTGGGGTTTGGGGTCTGCCAAGGCGGCCTGGCCGAAGATTCCCATGCAGGGCTTCGAGGGGAAGCTCCTGCACTCCAGCCAGTTCAAGGCCTTCTCACAAAAAGGGGGGATTCCGAAAACTGGGGTGGGTTGGGGGGGCGGAGGGGGGGAGGGGTAGGGGTAGGGGGTTTAGGGTTCTGTTGTGCCGAAGTTGTTGATTCTCGGCAGTATCTTTTGCCTGCAGTCTGCCCTTGACATGCTTCTCTTGTCTGTAGACTTTTCAAGTGGACAGTGCCCCAGTCCGCCAGGAAGACGTCATGGAGGAGATCATCAAGAAGGACTTGAAGGTGCTCGTGGTGGGAGGCGGCAAGTCCGGCTGCGACATGATTTGCGCCTTCCAAAAGAAGGGCTACAAGCAGCTCACCTGGCTCTTCCGGGCTCCCTATTGGTTCTTGAGGTATGCCCCGGTGACCACGGGAGGCTTCAAAGGTTTCCTCTTCCTTTGCAGCCTCCTCCTCTTCCTCTTCTCCTACCAGCTGCCCGTCCTCGTGGCCTGGCTCATCGGATACCTGGTGCTGCCTAAGTCCGAAGGCACCAAAAAGAGAGAGGGCACATCCCCCCCTAAGCCCTAAACCCCTGGGATCCCAGGGGGGAGCCCTGGCCCCGAGAGCCCTGGCAAAAGGAGGCCTTCTGCCCCAGCACTTCGACGGCCGGCGCTTCCACTTCGGCATCCTGGACGACAAGCAGGTGGCCTTCGTGGAGCAGGTGGCCGCCAAGCAGGGAGAGCCCAAGGAACTCACCAAGGACGCTGCCCGGTAAGAAAGCCGCCGTGCCCCGCCCCCTTTCCCAGGCTCCCCCCAAAAAACAGGCCCTTTCTCCTTCATGTCCAGGAGGGCATGCAGCTGGAGAGCGGAGAGATGTTGAAGTGCGACGTGGTGATCTATGCCACAGGCTACGAGACCGGGTGGGGTGATCTGAAGTTGCTGAAGGATGGCGAGGTGGTCGATGCTGGGGATGCGCCTTGCTCTGCGTCTCATGGGAGCAGGGACATACAGTAACACGTGGAAGCCCAGAAGAGTTTAAGATGCCGCCGGTTGGCGTGGCGGGCCCGTGCCCCCCCCACAGTTGCCTGGAAGCCCCTTACTGCCTCCTTACCGGTCCTTAAAAGTACCCATCCTGATATCCAGAGCAAGGTCCCTAGACAGTGCTCGGCCTCTTGTGCGCTTCTCAGGTCAAGCTCTACCACCACGCAGTGGTGCCCAACTTCCCCTGCCTCATGTCCGCGTCCACGGCCTTCTTCCAATTTGGGCCATGTCGGGGTCTCACCACGGCGCAGTACATCACCTGGTGCCCCCTTTAAATGCTGGGACGGGGCCGGTTTGCTTGGGAACTCTTTCGCTGCCCTGCCCTTAGCCTTAGCAGCCTTAGCAAGATGCTTGAAACCTCTTAAGGGGTGCCCAGCAAACTTTCAGACACGAGGCATTGCAAAAGGTTCTGCCAGATCCCTCAATCTCGAAAGTACTGCAAGTGGCATAGGCTCCCCGAACCCCCCAACTCCCTTTGACCCCTGAACCCTAGGCCCTAAGCGTAAAAGCCGCTCCTGGCCCGGAGGTACCTGCAGGCTGCCCCAAGCGAGGCGGAGATGATCGCCACAGCTCAGCAGAATTGGTCGAGCCAGAGTGCCGGGAAGGCACTTGCTGCTCGAGGGGACGACAAGTAGTCATGATCGTAAGAGTCAGAAGAGATAACTGCATGGGTGATACGACTGGCCAGGTAACGACGACGAAAGAAGCAATGAGAATCTTCATAATCATGAGAAGTTGGATGTGCTGCTACAGCAGCGTCGAACGACCACACGTCGCGGATCCCACACTAGGGGCGGGGAGGATGCACAGCAGAGACGGAAAATGATGTCAAGCTGCACCACAAGTGGAACCTGGGGTTGGGGGGGGGGGGGGGGGGGAAATCGACACGGCCTCCTCTTGTAGGGGAACCCTGGCCCTAGTCTTCTTTGAGTAAGCTCTTTTTTTGCATGGGTGGGGAGCCTTTCTTTGCAGTCCAACGGCTTCCGATCCGACCATGCCTTCACCGCGGAGTTCCTGCTCTTCTACCTGGACTTGTGGCGCGGGGGCATGGTGTCCATCTTCGGAATGCTCAAGATCTTCGTGGATCTCTTCGTGGTCAGCAAGATGTCGCCTTTGGTGCTGAGGAAGGGAACCATGCCCGCCTTCCCGCAGTAGTGGCTCTGAAAGGTTTCTTTTTCTGGGATGTTGGTCCCAGCCTTCACCAGTTAGTGTTTACCCCAAGCTGTAGAGGCCGAGGCACTCGGGGGCATATCCGTGGCTCCTTGAAAAGGATCTGCGGCTCGCTCTCGGGGCCCCCCGGTGGCGGGCTTTGTGGGCTCGCCGGCAGCTGGACATTAGAGCCTCCGGTCTTAATCACTTGGCTTGAGGTTTAAGACGCATTGCTTGGCGCTACGTGACGGGTCACAAGGTGCAGTGAGTGCCGTGTGTCTTGTGCACCCGCAACCTCGACACCATCGGAAGCCCCACCTGGAATGCTGGCACTCTTTCAATAGGTCGTGACAATTTTTACCAGTCCTTTATGCCCCTTTCCATCGGAGTCGGGCGACTTCACGATATGCGATCGGCAAATGTGAGAGTGCCAGAATTCCCCAATTCCCCGCAGTGGTGGCAATGCCTCTTGCTCGACGTGGCTCGACCGTGGAGGCGGCAGAAGCTGCCCAGTCGGCTACGCTACGCTGCGCTACGCGCAGCGTTGTGGCTCAAGAGAGTGTCGGGCTCTCCAGACCTCGTGTACCCCGTGCTGCTGGGCGACAGTTTCTGGAGCTTCAGGTAGATTCCCCGTGTTGGGGGTTCGGGGTTCAACGTGCGCATTTGGTTTCGGAGCCCGTAACTAAGCTGCAGCAAGAATCTTGGTAGGTGCATTGCCCTTGGCCCATTGTTTCGGTTCTCTGGATTTGGCTAGCTCCAGCTTCGCTGGCCTTGCTCCCAGGACTTCTTGGCGAGATGATGCGAGCTCTTCTCCTCGCTCTTCTGCCGCTCAGAAGGGAAGCCTGGAAGGATGCATAGTTGTACCCATGAGACGAGCCACGGCGTGTGCACCGTAACATCAGAAACATCCGCTTGGTGCTTGGATTTGTGCGATGATCGGCCGGACATATCCCACAAAAATATCAACAAGAAGAAGAACAATAAAACATAAAAAGTGAAGGGTCCCCCCCCCTCCGCCTCATCACACTCCCGAGAAATCACAATCATTGCATAGTCTGTTGTTCAAAGCAATGTAATGTAATGTAACGTAATGTAATGTAATGCTTGGCATACTTACTATCGTGTGGTATAGTAATTTAGTAGTATAGTATATAGTATATTCCAAAGAAGAAGTTGTCCAAAACATCCCCATGAAACCCTTTGTAGCAGAATGTTGGCATAATTGGCCGAGGTTGCCTGCGTGCTCAGCGATTACCTGGGCGACCCCGGCAAGAGCTTGAACGTAGAAGATGAAACGTTTGTGGTGCTTGGCGTCGGCAGTGACGGCAGTGTTGGGAGTGTTGGCAGTGGAGCTAGTGGTGGTAGTGGTGATGCGGATGATGCTGATGACGTTGATGATGGCAGTGATGGACAGTAAGATCTGCACCTCACCTCCGTAAGACTAAGAGTATGGTGCACAATGTTTCGTTGACACAATCCGGTGGCCACCCCGTTGTTGGGAATTTTCCCCGCAGGTGAAGAGCGCCGCCGGCGCCAGCTGCGATCAGGCCTGCGCGGCGCGGGACGGGTGCCTTGGCCTTGGGGAACGAGCCCGAAACCCGACGCCCCGGGGTTGTTTTTTTAACCTGTATGTTGAGTCTGGCACCAATCTACTGTAGCACTAGTTTGCATCCTACTCTGCGTTGGGTAGTTGCGCCTACACCTTGTCATTTTGTCATTGCTCAGGCCCCAAGGGAACATAACCTGTGTGCCCGTGCCACTATGCCGCTCCCGCTCAATCCTAAACCCTGAAGCCTAGATCTAAACGTTGTTGGCGGGGTCATCAGTCAGGCGTCATGCAGGCGCAGGCGTCGGGGAGGTGGGAGGAGGTGCCGGGAAGTGTTGCTTTGCTGAATTTGAGGCACACTTGCAGAAAGCCAAAGCTCCGCAAGAACTCCCATGCAACTCGCACGAGTCGTCTTGAGGTCGTAAAGCCAGGACTCCTCACGCTTCGCGGCGCGAAGCCCGGAAGAGCCCGGAAGAGCTTTGGGAGCCTTTGAGGTGCAGCGACGAGTCCTGGCCGCAGTCGGAGGAGGAGTTCCAGGACGCCGCCAGGGCCGCAGGCCGGGTTTTCCGTTGGAGGAAGGGCTTCCAGGCTTCCGGGGATGTCTTGCCTTCTGTCCTCCTTGCTTTTCTGCTCTAGGTGGCATCTGTTTTTTTTTTTTT